TCTTACTTGGCGTGCCTTAATACACTTAAGGAGTTAGTATTTTGGCATAAATATTTCATTGATATAGCTGGAAGCATCAATGAAGATAAACTCCAGTTGCTAGAAGCTATGACTGGTGTTTCACGGAACAACCAAGATGTCCCAAAACAGTTAGGTTCGGGCCCATCATTTGAAGTCCAAATTCTGGAGGGTTATCATCTGGTAGTCCATCTTCTATAGGGCACCAATGTGGCACACCACCAAATGCTCAACAATAGAATTCACGTCAACCGTGTCCACAATGGGGAACACCACCAAATTCTCATAATTAGGGCACTCCACCAAGTAATCAACAGTGGGCTACATCACCAAATGCTCAAAATTGGGGCACACCACCAACTAATCAACAGTGGGGCACACCACCAAATATTCAACAATGGGGTACATCACCAAATGCTCAACAATAGAGGCTTTCACCAAACTTTCAACCTTGGGGTTCACCATCAAAATTTCATCCAAGAGGTCAGACACAAAACATTCAACAAGGCGGCTCATCGAGAACGACTCTAATCAACGTTTCAAGTAGACAGTACAAGGACTAATGAGCAAGAAAGCTCAGATAGTGCAGCTGTAGACACTCAACCAACAACATCACGCGGTGTTGATTTCACAAATTATTTTGAAACTGGAAATCAAATACCTAGATCAGGAGGTATATTTAATATATGGAGTACCCCACAAGGAAAAAACATAAATGTAAACGAAAGTCATCAAAATTATTCAGACGATGAAGATTAGTTTGTAATAGTCATGTTTCATTATACTCATTTATGTAATAAAATGTTGTATGTTTTTTTTATATTTAAACTAGTTTAATATGAATTTGTATTTGTCTAATAATATTTTCTTTAATGTTTAATATTTCAGACTTTTCGCACAAGGCATCCACAACCTAAGTTATGAAGAGAGAATTGAATTGTGGAATTTGGAAAATGAGCAATTTATGGAGTTAATAATTCAGCCAAGTTTGCATTACTATCATCGATATTTTGAAAGAGCATCAGAACTAACAGACAGAGGTTTGGGATGGACAAATATTTGGCCTGGACTACAACAAGATGCTAGGGTTTGTCTTCAGGTTACTACAAATGTCAATGTCATGTTTTATAATGTTATGTGATACGCTACAGACAAATTACAGTCTTCAACCAACATTAAATATGAGTATTGAAGAAAGTGTGGCTATATTTTTACAAATATGTGGGAACAATGAAGTTCAAAGAGATGTTGGTTTGAGATTTGGTCGAACTCAAGAAACTGTGTAGAGAAAATTCATTGAAGTTCTTAGGGCTACTGAATTACTTGTATGTGATTATATTAGAACTCCAACAAGAGAAGACCTAGACAGAGTTCCAGAAAGACTTATACAAGATCGAAAATATTGGCCATATTTTAGTGGATTTGTTAGAGTCACTTGAAATAAAATCTGAATATTTGAAGTTCATAAATATATAAAAAAATTATTAACTAAAATTAATAATTTAATTACAATATACTATTTATTATATATTTTTATAAATTATTTATCTAGAATCTGTAATCCATACCGCTTTAGTCTTATTCACCATTCAAATATTTTATTATGTACCACAAACTGTTTTTTCACCAATCAAACATTATTTTATACCGTTAATTATATACAAACCGCACTTGTCCTACAAATATATTTTTCCGAACGTACCGTAGTTGAACTATACCGTACTTTAAAACTGCTTTTCCTTCACAACCAAATACATTGTTACAATTCGGACCCAAATGTAAATTGACACGCAATTATGTGTTGATTTGTTATGTTTGACAATCATTACATAATTTGTTTTGTATTGTTTTATATTGCTTGGTACTACTTAAAACCAATATAAATTAATAATTTATTTCTGTGAATGTTTGTGTTGGCTAGCGGTTATGTATACTTTTTTTTGAAAATATGTAAATAAAAATACTTCAAATTAGATGCGCCAGGAAGGGGTTACATATACTTCTATAATCAAAAGTTTTTTTCAGTTACCATAATCACTATTAACCAGTAAAAAAGTCCCCGCAAATATTCTTGTTTCTAACTAATACACCAGTCGTGTAAATTGCTCAGTAACGTTCATAATAACTTGTATCACAGTTAGATGACGATGTGGGTAAAATTGTTAAAATAATTAGATTAATTAAATTTATATAAATGTATTGTTTTACTAAATTACATTATCAATCTTATAATCATTAGTAGTTCTTTTAAAATCGTTAGTATTTCTCTTAAAATTTGAGCCCCACCATAAAACAAATAGAGGATTTAGACAACTAATCTCACTTTACTTACGCACCATCCTAACACACACATTGCTAACAATAACCTTGTAACTTTCTATATATACTTTGGACTGCAAATCTCATTTAACTATGGTCTATGGATATATCATCAAGGTCCCATGACCATTTTCCTGAGTTCTTCATAACATTTCTTCTCGGTCCAACATCCAGAGTTCACAAGGGAGGTTAACCAAACCTCATCATATCTCGTTAGCTCGTCGTCATCCTACCTATGCCAGGTCCAAAGCGCATGGGTTGAGTTCACCATCTGAAGCTCCGTGCCCAAAACTTGCTTCCCTAAATACTGACCACTTATAACAGAGGAAAAAAATAAAATTTGATAAAGAATAACTAATTAGTTTGAGGAATTACTTGTGAGTTAATCTTTCTCTGTTTCCTCCATCGCCTATGGTTATGTGAACAGAACCACATGGATCTAATTTACCTTGACACGTTTCTGTCGAGCAGAATAATAAACCAATTACTATTAAAACTCATAAGAGAAACTAACATAGATTTGAGCATACCGTGCCTCATAAGAATGGACATGAACATCAACACCACTCACATAAAGCAAAGGCCATCATCCCATCACCTTCATGTTGATGGGCATCATTACCATTATACCATGGTACATGGAAGATGACAATTAGCCACAATGTCATTTTTCAGTCCACCTTTGAGAGATCAGCCTGAATATCATGAAAAACAGGTTTTAATACAAAAATATATATAATGATAGTATTGCCAGGTTTAACACTAACCGAAAATATTGAAAAGTAGAACAAATCTTTGAATTACGTATGAGCTTCATACCATTGAGATGTTGTAAAGAAAAAAAAAAGAAAAAGAAAGAACATCAGTTCAAATCATTATTGAACAAAAATTTCAATACAGAATAATAAAATAAAAAAATTTAGAATAATAGATAATGAAAGAGATTGATCTTTTTCATGCTATTTACATTGGCAAATCAGCTCCCTATTTATATAAGGTGAAAACATGAGAGGGTTTGTTAGAAGATTTGTGAAGCATATATTAAGAAGATTCGTTAAACATATATTAGGAAGCTTGCAATCTTTACAACTATTTTGAAAATATTCAATTTTTAATATTTGAACAATACATAAATCTCCTGAGCTATTATCAATCGCCCAGCCACAAATAACTTTGAAAATAGAGGATCAATACCAATGGCCCGCGAAGGCTGGTGGTGTTATATTGATGGATCATGGAAAGATATGGATTCATCAACCGAACTAGGATAGTACTATTTTCAAGAAGGTGCTATAGAGAGAATAATGGGAGCACAAAATATACGGCGAAGTCATACGCCTCTGCATGAAGAGGTGGAAGCACTTATATATTTTGTATGTTTGTATGTTTTGTATGTTTGAAAATCAGAAGATGTAAGTAGTTTTTGCGACATACTTTTTGGAGGTGGTGAGGATGGTGTCCACACCTGAAAAATGACCAGCTTTTGATTTACACTTGGAAGAGATTATGAAGATGGATGACAGATTCAGCTCTTTCTCCATATCATATATTCTACGAACGAAGAATATGAAGATAGACAACTTAGTAAGAAGTGCACGTGTCTACCCTCATGAGTCATGATGTTATCTATGTAAACTTGGTACATCCGGTTCGGTTAGCTAATACATAAATCGTGTTTTGCAAGTTAATCAAATTGATGAAAATAATATCACAATTTCAAATTTAAAGAAATGAAAATATTTTGGAATATTTCAACAAATAAATAAGAAATGATGCATTTGAAAATATTTATTAATTTAAATTTGAAAACAGAAAGATATAAAAGCGGTATTAAATTATTAGTAAATCAATTTATATAGAAGAAAATAAAGAATATAATATATTTTCAAACAAAATAGAAAAATAAATTTCTAACTGTTACAATTTGATAAATGAAATAAATAAATATATTTCTAAATTTTTTTTTTTGGTCAAATATTTATCATATTAATATGAAGATAATCAAATTAATTTATTAGTTTGATTTTTTTAATGGATCGGATCAAAAGAATATGCGTACTTTTTAGTGGTCGTGTCAAAAGATCCGCGTATTTATCCGTTTACTATAACTATTAAAAGTAAATATAATTAATAAATTAATTTAATAATATTTTATTCTTTTTAATTAAATAGGAATCAATCAGAATTGTTTATGTGAACGATTTTGCCATATTATATTTGATGTGAAATAAATGTCATCATTGATGTTGCAAAGATCTTTTTTCTCTTCATTTCTGTCCAATCAAATTAAAATAAATTAGTAATTTTTTAAAAGTGTTTATTAATCTACATTTTCATTTAATATATATGATCTATGAAAAAATATAATGTTAAAAAAAATTTTTGATAGAAAAAAAAATCGTGTATTGATAAAATAATAAAAATTTACATATTTTATAGAACTTTCCCTTAACAAAAAAAAAAAATAAAAAGCTAAACTTAATTTACCACCGAGAAAGTAATATTTTTATTAAGACAAATACATCATTTACTTTCAGACAAGCACAGCTTCCGACAGTGCCTGTAAAAAAAAGCTTGGCATCTCCCTCTTTCTAAATCATTCTAAATCAACGGCTATACATGCGCCACGTATTCAGTCTCCAACTCTCCTCTTAAATACACCTTCTTTCTCTCTCTTCAGCCACCACCACCTTCGTCTTTCTCCTTCGCCGAATCTGACACCGCCAAAGTTTCATTTCCGAGATCTTCTTCTTCCTCCTCCTCCTCCACAGATCTAAAAGATCTCAAGTACCGAAGAAGCAAAGCTCCAAAACAATCCGAGACCGTTTTGACTCCGACTTCGACGACGAACCAATTCTTCCCCCTCCCGTAGATCTAGCGGAGAAAAACCTCTCGTAAAATTTTCTTAACGGTAATTTCTAAATATAGAACAAAAAAAAATCGAAAATCCGAAACCAATTTCAGTATTCAAATGCCTTTCCCGTTGGATTCAAATGTGTGAAAATCCAAAATAATTTTGTTACCTTTTCCCAGAGATTCGAATCCGAGATCGGTAAGTGATGGCGCCGAGTATTCGGAAAGCGATCGGAGCGGTTAAGGACCAGACAAGCATCGGGATCGCGAAAGTAGCGAGCAACATGGCACCAGATCTAGAAGTAGCGATCGTGAAAGCCACGAGCCACGACGACGATCCAGCTAGCGAGAAGTACATCCGCGAGATCCTAAACCTGACTTCTCTCTCTCGCGGCTACATACTCGCCTGCGTGACCTCCGTCTCACGGCGTTTGGGGAAAACGCGCGATTGGATCGTCGCTCTCAAGGCCCTGATGCTCGTTCACCGTCTCCTCAACGAAGGAGACTTTCTTTTCCAGGAAGAGATTCTGTACTCGACGAGACGAGGTACGAGGATGCTCAATATGTCTGATTTCCGCGACGAAGCGCATTCGAGTTCGTGGGATCATTCTGCTTTCGTTAGGACTTATGCTTTTTACTTGGATCAGAGGCTTGAATTGGCTCTCTATGAGAGAAAGAGTGGTGTGAAGGTGAATAGTGGTGGTAATAGTAGCCATCATAGCAATGGTGATGATCGATACGGTAGAGGAAGAGACGATTTTCGCTCTCCGCCTCCGAGATCTTATGATTACGAGAATGGTGGTGGTGGTGGTGACTTCAGGGGAGATGGTAATGGTTATGGTGGTGTTCCTAAACGATCTCGATCTTATGGAGATATGACTGAGATGGGAGGAGGAGGAAGAGATGAGAAGAAAGCTGTTACGCCGTTAAGGGAAATGACACCGGAGAGGATATTCGGGAAGATGGGTCATTTGCAGAGGCTGCTTGATCGGTTTTTGTCATTGAGACCAACCGGTTTAGCTAAGAACAGTAGGATGATATTGATCGCGTTGTACCCGGTCGTGAGGGAGAGTTTTAAGCTGTACGCTGATATCTGCGAGGTTTTGGCTGTTTTGCTTGACAAGTTTTTCGATATGGAGTATACGGATTGCGTCAAGGCCTTTGATGCGTATGCTAGTGCGGCTAAACAGATTGATGAACTCATTGCGTTTTATAATTGGTGTAAGGAAACTGGTGTGGCGAGGTCGTCTGAGTACCCGGAAGTGCAGAGGATCACTAGCAAGTTGTTGGAGACTTTGGAAGAGTTTGTCAGAGACAGAGCAAAGAGATCAAAGAGTCCTGAGAGGAAAGAAATCGAAGCTCCTCCTCCACCACCACCAGCTCAAGAAGAGGAACCTGAACCTGATATGAATGAGATCAAAGCGCTTCCTCCTCCAGAGAATTACACTCCTCCACCTCCTCCTGAGCCAGAGCCTCCAAAACAGCAAGTCACCGATGATTTGGTTAACTTGAGAGAAGATGAAGTCACTGGTGATGACCAAGGGAACAAGTTTGCGCTTGCTCTCTTTGCAGGCCCACCGGGTAGTAATGGCAAATGGGAAGCTTTCTCTTCCAATGGAGTCACTTCCGCTTGGCAGAATCCTGCGGCAGAGCCCGGGAAAGCGGATTGGGAATTGGCATTGGTGGAAACAGCTAGCAACTTAGAGAAACAGACGGCCGCTTTGGGAGGTGGTTTCGACTCGTTGCTGCTCAACGGTATGTACGATCAAGGAATGGTTAGACAACACGTGAGCACCTCACAGTTAACAGGTGGTAGCGCGAGCAGCGTAGCTTTACCTTTACCGGGTAAAACCAACAATCAAGTATTGGCTTTACCTGCACCAGATGGAACCGTGGAGAAAGTGAACCAAGACCCGTTCGCAGCTTCACTAACCATACCACCACCTTCATACGTGCAAATGGCTGAGATGGAGAAGAAGCAGTATCTGTTGAGCCAAGAGCAGCAGCTATGGCAGCAATACCAGCGCGAAGGGATGAGAGGTCAAGCCAGTCTAGCGAAGATGAACACAGGTCCAATGCCTTATGGAATGCCACCTGTCAACGGGATGGGACCACCACAACAGGGGTATTACTACAACAACCCTTACTGATTCATTATTTTTGTTATCATCCATATATATGTGTAGATGACTCGTCTTCCCACCGTTGATCTCGTGTGTGTGTTTCTTTATTGTTATCCTTGGATTGTCTTAAAACGATAAAATCTCTCAAGTTTTGAACTTTCTGTCTCTCTACTCGAGTTTGATTTATAGTTTTATGTACACTTTCTTGATTCCCATTTTGTATAACACATTTTGATATCTTCTTTTGATGTTTCCTCTGCTTCAACTATGAGAACACTTTTGTCGGATTTGAGAGTGTTCTAGTTTGACTTGCGAAGTCTGTATAGGACTAGTTATGTTTGGGTTGTGTTGTCCAAAATAGACAGGTGAAACTAAGAAACTGCTTACATAGCCGACTCTTTCAAGTTTGAAGCCATTAGTTGGTTCATTTGTAATTTATTAGGTGAAAAACATATATGTCGCTTTCCTTTTTTTTTAAAAAAAATCAATTATTCTAGGAGATATATCCCTAAATAAAATCAATTCCTTTTTGTAGTTGAGATTGTATATGGAAGTCTCTGTTAGACTTAAAATTAGGTGACCCAATGGGTTGTATATATAAATTGACAGCTAGAATGGGACCCTCCATTACCATATATACGTATAATGACCAGCACTTAAATTATTCTAGCACCCTCCATTACCACAAATACGTATAATGACCAGTACTTAAAATTGAAGTATTAAATTATCAGTTTTGGACCTTAGGTGAACTTAAAAAATGCCAAAGAAGAATAAAATTAAAAAACTAAGCTGGAGTCTCTTCATGCCCAACTAATAATGTAAGAGTGTATTATTTTTTATAACCCATTGGGTCACCTATTTTGGATAAATCTTTTTGAAAAATTAATAAATTTGCACCGTCTTATGTGATATAGAATAAATAATTTATGTTCTGTTTCTTTGTTTAAAAGCTAAACGTGTCTAGAATAAGTAATAATGCTTTGACTAATTTTGGGAGGTATGTATTTCCCTACTGATACTTGATACCGGTTAATTAGACGATTACGATTTAACGTTGCACGACGTTGTTCACTCTATTGTATGGATCGTATAAAACGTTTTCAAACTATGTTGATGAATGGTATACCACTTATTCAACTTTGACAAAAGAAAGATAATATTTTATCAACTTTTTATGTTTTCATGTTTTTGAAAAGTGATTCCACTATATAAGAGTAGCGTATTAAAAGTTTAACTAACAAAAACAAAAAGTGATTTCTACTACAGTTAGATTTTCAGCGTTACTTTGATATTCATTTCATATACCAGTACTCGTTATTTTGGGTAAGTTCTGAATGATCATCTATGACAGTGGATCTATAACAAGAAGGAAAAAGACTCGAGAGAGAGAAGCGAAGGAGAGAGAGAAGCGAAGGAGAGAGAGAGAGGGAGTATAACGCTCCAACCGCCTTTACTAGTGACTCCAATGTGTTTTTTTTTTGCCTGTGGATCCACTCGTCTGACGATTTGTGTTAGTCCAGAGGTTCATAAGACTTATGTACTGACCCTATAAATCATTATATGAATTTTTTTTGGTGTTTTATCCTCATTCGCACGATACCGCGGACCACTTCCCGATAGATCATCTATTTTGAGATTTTCCAACTCAAGCACGCTTAATTCTGAAGTTCTCTCAAAACCAATGCCCAAAAGATAAGTGCACTTTAGTGACGTAAGTAGTCAAATCAATTATTAGAAGTCTTTCCGCATATACCAGAAATGAGGATGTTACAATTCACCACCACTCACAGATGCAACGCCCTCGTTGCACACCAGGATCGTTACCCTAGACGGTGTGAGCCCACATGAATCCACACACGTATTTGGGTTTGGCTCTGATACAACTTATAACGCCCCAACCGCCCCTATCAATGAACCCAACGCTCGCTCTCTCAGCCTATGGGCCTATCCCTTTCCGACAGTCGGTGCGTTAGTTCAGAGGCTCGTAAGACTTGTTTACTGATCCTATAAATCACAACATGATATTTTTTCGTACTTTGTCCTCACTCGCACGGTACCACTGACCACTTCCTGATAGAATTATCCATCCTGAGATTTTCCCAGCTCAAGCACGCTTAACTCTAGAGTTCTCTCAAAACCAGTGCATGAAAAGATAAGTGCACTTTGGTGACATGTAGCCAAATCAATTCTTATAAGCCTCTCTACATATACTAGAAATGGGATGTTACAATTCACCCATATTCATATGCGCAACGCCCTTGTTGCGCACCAGAATCATCACCCTAGACGGTGTGAGCCCACATGTACGGCTCCGAACCACTTATAACGCCCCAGCCGCCCCTATCAGTGAGTCGAACGCCTCTCTTGGCTTGTGGGCCCACTCTTGTCCAATGGTGTATGCGTTAGTTCGAAGGCTCGTAAGACTTGTTTACTGATCCTACAAATCACCACATGATCTTTCCCCGTGCTTTGTCCTCACTCGCACGGTACCACGGACCATTTCCCGATAGGTCAACTATCCTGAGATTTTCTCAGCTCAGGCACGCTTAACTTTGGAATTGTATCAAAACCAGTGCCGAAAATATAAATGCACTTTGGTTACACAGGTAGCCAAATCAGTTTTTTTAAGCCTCTCCGCATACACCAGAAATCGGGATGTTACAGGGAGAAAGAGAGATAGATAGAGGAGAGAGAGAGACTGTTTTGAATTAAACCTCTCGATAAACTTAATCTTAAGACCATTCCTTCCATTCATACAGCCAGGAAACATAGTTGTTGCTAATTCTGTCAAGATTCTGTCTCAATATTTCTTTTTTTGAACAAATCTGTCTCAAGATTTTAAGTTTTAAAGGATTCAAGAAACTGACAAACTTCGAAGCCATCTTGGTGCAATCTTAAAAAAAAAAAACAGAGTAATGAAAGGGGAGTAATCATCTCTCGAATCGTAGCCTCCAACAAGTTCAAGCTCTGAATCACGAGACGATCCTTCTTAGGAGGACGATAACCCTATTGATCATGAGAATTTCATTGAAGTGGTATCAAAACGGCATAGTAAGATGTTAAACAATAAATACGTAAAACATGCAAGAAACCCAAATTCACCTAATTTTAGATGAAAGTCGATAATTTTTGTTGACTTAGTTTTGCAATCTTTAGTTACCAGATTTTTTTTTCTTTTTTTTTAAAAAAATTTCTGTCTAGTAAACTAATTTTAATACATGGTCACTAACTCACTACCTATCTAATTTTCATATTTTCTATCGCTACCAATTGGTATTTTTCTTTTAATAACTCAGTAAGGCCTAGTAGCTTTAGAAAGTAGTTTTTAAAAGAGTTTTAGAAGGATTAATAGCGCTGAAAATGCATAAATGGGTAAAAAATTCTGGGGTGTCATAAATTAATCCGGATGCCATAAATGAATCCGGATGCCAATAATAGAAAAAGAATTCCAAAAATACCCTTAATGAATCACTATTGTGGCATTTCAGAATTAGCTGGATAAAAATATTTTTAATTGTTTCAATTTTATTTAATTTAAATTGATTTATGTATATTAATATAATTTAAATAATTTTGGGGTTTTCTTTCTCTCCATTCGCTCCTCTTCTTCTTATTCGAGGGAACCCGAGCTGTTTCTTCTTTGAGCTCCAGCTCAAAACCAAGACTGAACCCATCTCACCGGTGGACCATAGACGATCCTAGCCGCCACCGTTTCGTCCTCCTCTGCAATCGTCATCCTCCTCTTCCGTTCTCCGCCATTGTTGAGAAAAGATTGTATGGTTATGGTTTTGTGTAATTTCTTAATTAGGGACCGCTTTGTGAAATTTTCTCGTTTCTGTATGGACATTGGATATATAAGTTACTTATGTAGGCAAATTAAGTATTTGCATTGTTAATTAGTCGATTATTTTTGTTGAATCAAGCTGAATCATAGTATTTTAGGTAGTGAATCAGGGAGAAGTGGGACAACTGGTACAAATGTTATAATTGTGAGATCTGAGGGAAAATTGGCTTTTTCATACCCGAAGTATGCGCAGGTGTTATTCTCATACCCGAATTATGTGACCGTGCATAAATCTACATCAAGTTAATAAAAGTTTAAATTACATACCTAAACTTTTGATTTTGTGCTAAATCATACATTCGAGTTAACAGTGTTATTAATCCATTAACTTTTGCCTACGTGGAAGACATGTGTGAAACGACTGTATTTAAGAATTATCAAATTGAATTTAAAAACTGCGCAAAACGATATCGTAGTGGTCTCCATAGTTAAACGATGTGGTTCTGAAAAAAAATATTCATAAAAAGCACAGAAGAGACGTGCTCCCACTTCTTCTTCAACCTGGACACCCCAGAACACGTAGATGTGTGTGTGTGTGAGAGAGAGAGACAGAATCAGATCGTTAAAAGAAAAATGGCTGAGTCTGATGATTCAGTAAAGAAGCGAAGGAGAAGAAGCTATGGAAAGCTGTTTTCGTCCGGAAGCATGATCGTAATCTATGGTCTTCTCCACGTCTCTTACTCTTTCTATTTCCTTGGATTCATCTCTCTTGTTCAAATTAATGGAAGAAACTTGGTGGGTTTTTTTTCTTAGCTCATAAAAGCGTGTATCTTGTGAAATTGCAAAACAAAACTATTGTAATTCATAAAAGTGAATCCTTTTTTCTCACTCCTGGTTATCTAGTTACAAGTGCAAGATGTTTTATTTTTCTATCCATATGGTTTCAGTCTATGCTGTTGTTCGATATGTGGTTGATTATTTCTTGTAATTTGCAGGAAAAGATTATGAGAGTGTCATATGGGTTGAACAAGGAGTACTTCAAGCGCTCTTTGTTTCTCGTTTTCAGTAATCGGCTCACTACATCAGCTATTTCTGCTGGTGATTTACTGGTAACTATCAAACCTCTTGACTTGTATTCATATTCAGAAGAGAAGCCTGATTTTAAAGTTCCCTTCTTTCTTGTATTCGGTTGAGAGACAAAGGGATCGAAGATGCCAGAAGCCAATTTCTTCTTCGTACTCCCTCAGAAAAGCACCAGAACGAACTTTCAAACATCCAAAAACACTTTTATTTCAAGATCAATCAATCGTCAAACATAATCACAATCATAATCAGAAGAAGTGAGACGGACCTGGTTCGATAGGGGTGAGCGTGTTTCGAGGGTGTCAAAGTCGAGAGGTTGAAGATGAAGTGGGAGCGAAACAACACCTCTTCTATGCTTTTTATTAATTTTTTATTTTCAAAACGACTTCGTATAA